TGTCTGGAACCTGCGCGGCTTTATTTGCTTTTTCTTCTCAGATGCAACCTAGCGCATCCGAACTAATGCTGGGCACGCGCCAGAACCAACCCCAGTCTGAGAGGGCGCGTAATGTCCAATGTGGTCGGGCCGGCTTTGTTATGGAAATTGCAGGTGTCGCCTGACGGAGTGTGAAGGCGCACTTTTACGATTTCCTACATGGTTGAGCATACGGAGAAATAGTGGGAGCGGGTAAGACGTGAAGGGTTAAGAGGGAATGTAGCTTACCGGGCTTGGAGTTGTGTTAGAACAGTTGTTTGCGCAAAAAGCCCAAAAAAATCAGGGCAGAAAAGACGAGAACTGGTCCACGAGATCTACCTCAGACATTTTGCTTGAGTTACCTATTCTGTATCACCTGAGTTATGCTGTGTTAAATGAATACCTGATCTGAAGTGAAGCGCAAAATATTAAGCTCATAAAAACTAGAACTGGTCACCGAGTGTATCTTTATTCGTAAGAATGCCAAAAGCAGTGAATTTCTTAAAAAAAAAATTAAAATTGCATTTTAAAATTACTTTGAGATCATTTTCTGTTCTTCTTTCTATAATGGCTAGGAAGACTAAATAGTATATACCGGTTGGATGCTCATACCTGAGTTTCATCCGATGCTGATCAAGTACAAAATGACTTTGCTTAGAAACGAGAACTGGTCCCCATGTTTCGCTGTTCATGAAACACATCGTTGCATGTTCCTCAATAATATCTATACCCTTAATCTCTTCTTTTGTCATTTCTTCTTATTCTCGTACCCATTACCCGAGAAATCAATCTTGTCCTACGCCCTAGCAAAGAGCCATAAATCAACTTTGGATTACCATGTATGTGTACGCTACTTGATTAACGGGTTCTCTATCCATGCAAAACGAGGACAATAACAATAAGGTATATTGGGGATCCGGAAAAAGGTTAGTAAAGTACCTCAACCCAATATCGTAAAGTATCGGCCTTACCTTCCACCCTGAATACCAAGTGAAAGTGAGCCTATTCACGCTACTTCACGGCTGCAAATGTTATGCTGTATTGCGTCGATGTTACGTACAC